GCTGAGTGGTTTGCAGTTTTATTGGGCCAGGAGAAGTCCAGCATCTGCCTGTTTAGCAGGATCCCAGACTCTTCTAGTTAAAGCCTTTCATAACCTAGTTCTAATCTATCTTTTAAATGTCCTTATCCATTACTTCTTTTCCTTTACTGTATGGTCCAGACTAGTCTTTTCTCTTTTCCTCATGCAAAGCCTCCATTTCCCATCTATAAGCTTTTGCACTAGCCATAGATTCTCTGGCTCATAAATTTACTCACTTCAAATCAAATCAGGTCAAATCAATAAGCATTTATTAAGCACTCACTGTGTTCCAGGCACTATGCTAAGGCTAGGGATACAAAGAAAGGCAAAAACAGTCCCTGCCCTCAAGAAGTTCACAATCTAGTGAGGAGTCAACATACAATTAGGTACAAATAAGACAGATACAGATAAATTGGAGGTAATCTCAGAAGAAAGGCAAAAGAAGGACTGGCAAGAGCTTCTTACAGAACGTGGGATTTTAGTTGAGATTTGAAGAAATCCAGGGAAGCCAGGAGGCAGAGACCACGAGGGAGAACATTACAAGTATGGGAGACAGTCAGTGAAAATTCACAGAGTTGGGAGATGGTATGAGGAACCACAAGGAAGCTAGTGACACTGGATTATACAGTACACTGGGGGGGGGGGTGTAGGGTATAGAAAGACTGGAAATATATGGGATAAGTTATGAAAGGCTTTAAAAGTCTGGATTTGAAGGGGGCAGCTAGGTGGTACAGTGGATGGAACACCAGCCCTGAAGTCAGGAGGACCTGAGTTCAATTCCAGCCTCAGACCAAACACTTGACACTTACTAGTTGTGTGACCCTTAGCAAGTCACTTAATCCCAATTCCCTAAAAATGAAAAAAAAAATAAAAAAAAGCTGCACATATCTTAAAAAAAAAAGTCTGGATTTGATTCTGGAGATAATAGGGAGCCACTAGAGTGTACTGAATGGGGGAAGGGTGACATAATCAGAGCTGCACTTTAAGAAGATCACTTGTTAGCTGAGTAGATGATAGACAGGGGTTGGGAGAGATTTGAAGCAGGGAGAATAACCAGAGGGCTATTACAATAGTCCATACCTGAGGTAATAAAGAGTCTACACTAGAGTAGTAGAAGTGACAGAGGAGAGAAGGTGGTATATGGGAGAGATTTTACAAAGGTAGAAATGACAGGACTTGGCAACAGGGGGATTGGATTGGATATGGGGGATGAGAGAGAGTGAGGAATTGAAGATGCTACCTAGGTTGTGAGCCTAGGCAATTGTGAGGATAGTGGGTACCTTGACAGTAATAGGACAAGTCAAGTCACATGCCAACAAGATGGAGGACCATAGGAAGTATGAGCAAGAGACAAAGCAATTTCAGCTCTCTCCACAGTCTAGGACACCAAAAATCTTAGTAAGATAACAATTCAATGAACTAACAGAAGAGAAGGCTAATCCCTAACCCCTAACCCACTCAGCACCCACACCCTCACTGCTCAATGTGATCTAATAGCAGGGCTTCATAAGTTAACACATGGGCTTGTAACAGAACTAAAGACAACCCATTGTCTCCTCATAGTGCTATGGAAAACCAAAAGTCAAAAGCTTGCTTAGGCTGGGACAGCAGTTCAAAACTCTGTGCTGCCACAGAACTCAACTAGATAACTAAGGAACAAAGGAAACTAGGGCAGGGCACATGTGTGCCATTCCACTAAGCCTGAGGGAAAGAGCTTAGCTTTGAGTTGGGGCCAGTTCTGTACCCCCAGAAATCACTTGGGGCAAAGACAGATTGGTAAACTTGAATTTCCCAGCACGGGAAGAAGCTAAAACAGCTTTAAGGTACAACTCCCAAAGAAACTGCAATCAAAGGCAAAGGAGTCAGAAAGTGAACAATAGAGGAAAAAAGACTGAAATTGTCAAAGATCCCAGGAGGAAGAAAACTCAATTAAAGACTTCCAGATAAGCAGATAAACAAACAAGGAATATATTAATAGCAGAGGGGAATATGGCCTCCAAATCAGCTAAACCACCAGACATATATGCGTAAGTATTGTAAGACTAAGGAAAATAAATCAGCACCCAATGAGGCCGAGAGCCCTATAGATTCTCAAGAGGCCATGGAACCACAGTAGGATGTTCCTGAATGGTTTAAAAGAAAAATAAGAATTGTGAAATAGAATATATGGCCTGCACAGCAGAAATAATTGGCAGAATGGAAAAAAATTTCAACCCAAGGTGGCAAGTCTCCCCAAAGAAACAAAAGAGAGCAGAACCCATTTGGAATGCAAATACACAGAAGTGAAAGACAATCTAGAAGAAGAGAAGCAAAATGCAATAGTGTTAAAAGAAAACATGATATTCATTCAAGCAAAACATATTGATCTTGAAGACAGGATACGTAGAGAAAATTTAAGGATTATAAGTCTCCCAGAAGAACATGACAAGTCAAAAAACCTCAACACCATAACGCAAGAAATAAAGACAATAATAAGACATAAATTCAATACAACTCAGACACCACCTCCTACAGGAAACCCTTCTTTATCCCCCTTATCTACCAATGTCCTCCCTCCCTATCTTATATACTTACATATGTACATGTTATCTCTCTTAATAGAACGTAAATTCTTTGAGAGCGAGGATTCTTTCCTATTTTGACTTTGTATCCCTGGGACCTAGCACAATTCCTACTAATTAATTATGTGTACATGTGCACATATATACAGAGCGACCCAAAGCTTTCAAGTATAAGCTTTAATAGAGTTTAATAAAGTTTAAGTTTTAATAGCTTAAAACTGAACTAAGACTTTTGGGACTCCCTGTGTATGCACAAAGAGTCTATAAGATTTAGAAATAGAATGAATCTTACAGATCAATACATACATAAACAAAAATAAACATGCGAATATAGAGTGTATGTGTGTGTGTATGTTTCTGGGAAATCAGAAGGAAGCAAAAGCCTCAGATAAATACCTTTCTTAGATATCTCCATATTACCCTCCTACCCCCCAGTTCCTTCCTATCTCCTGGCCCTACCTGAGCATGTCTTCTGTGCTCTCAGAGATGGTTGAATCATAGAAGGGATCTCCCAGTCTGCTAGCCAAGGCCAGAGCAATCTTCAGGGTCTGTGTTTACAAAGGCATGCAGGAGATATCAGGCACATCAGGACCTCTTCTCGGCCTGTGACCCCCAAACTCCAAAACATCTATGCCCCACCCCTCAGAATTCCAGAGACCTTCCCTTCCCCTATCCCCAAAATACCTTTATTGACACCATGTCCCAAAGGCTTTCCCTACACCCAACCCTCTTTCCAAGGACTGCTTAATATCCCCAGTACCCAGAGGGAGAGAGACCAGGGAGGGGGAGGTTGGCACTGACCCCAGCTCCCTGGAAAGCAGGAATACAAGGTAGGACAAGGAAGCTGAGAAGCTGACAAAGAGAATGGTGGGAAAGGGAAGGGGAGCCATACCTCAGCTACCCAGTGCAGAGCCTGCTCCCTGGACACCAAGCTGGTAAGGTTGAAGCCCTCTAGGATGTTCAGGGCAGCAATGAGGGCAGGTCCCGTATGAGGGGGTGGGGGGCTGAGCACCAAGTGACCTTTGACAAGGGGAGAGGCCAAGGTAAGGAGGGGAAGGGAAACAGATCTCAGCATGAGGACAAAGGGGCAAAGAACTTTTACTGAGGTAAAGAAACTAAAACCAAACTCTTAGAAACTGAAGTCCTCATTTTATAGATGAGGAAATTGAAGCCCAGAGTCAAAAAGGGACTTGCTGAAGACCACACAGTTAGTCAGTGACAAAGCAGGGGCTAGAGCTTAGGAGGCCTCCTGCTTTCCAGCCCTGGGCTTTGAGACTTCAGAAACAAGGATCCAAGATATTCATTCATTCAGGGCTGGCCTCAAGCTTGTACAATGACCCATTCCAATCCCGGCCCTGCCCCACTCCTAACCTTCCCAACTACTTTACTTGCCAAAGCCAAAAATGTCTCAAAAAGACAAAGTATTTTATGCCCAGTGAGAGAAGGCTGACCCTGCTGACCCCATGCTGACCGGGTCCATTATACTTCTATGTTATCTAACTTCTGCTATGGAACTTATCCATCAGTATACACATCTGGGACAGACAATAGACAATGAGGTGGTTTCAGGACTAAATGGGAAGAGGAGAGGAAGCAGGACTGCTTTTGGGAAACTGCAAAGTTCTTTTAAGGAACCCAAGTTTTTCCCAGAAACTAAGGCTCATCTTTTCTAAATCATCATTTTGGGGACTGTACAGCTGTGAGACATGGAGCACAATGAACCACGGAGAACCCTATGTAGAGGTACATGCAACATGTAACCAATGAGGAATTTCAAAGAAGACCTGGAGTTTAAGATGTCATTGGAGAAGGATATGATAGGAAAAGATGGGCTGCTCATGTGTCATGGGATTACAAGTGGGCAGTCATGTGCTCTATTGCTTTCCTTGAAATATCAGGACAAACTGAGGAAAGCCATTGGCTATTTGATGAGGATTAGCAGACTCATGGGAAGAGATGGCCAAGAGTTACACAAGACGGCAGGCATTGAGAAGATCCAAACCTGTATGACTGATATGAGTAATTCCATCAGGGCCTCACTATAGCAAGGCAATCCTTTTACTTCTCTGTAATTGATTTTCTATTGGACACCTCACAGGAATTATTTCAAACCTTTATTTCTCTGTTCCTATATACCCCTCTTCCCCTCCCTCTCAGCAGAGGGCTTCATCTCATATGTTATTGGGAAAATAGAAGCCATTCACCACAAGCTCCTTTTTCTCCCTTACTCTATATTTCAAAACTCCTTGTCATCATCTCCCCATTCTCCTTATAAGGCCAACACCTCTACTGGTACCCTCATTCCCAGCATCTCTTTCTGGGTCCTTCAGCAAATCTTCCCCACAATTATTCAACCTCTCTGTCTCTAATCTTTTACCCTTCTCTCTGTTACTGCTTACCTCCCTGCTACCTAAAAACATTTCTAGGTCTTTGACATCTTAAAAAACTCTCATTTGACCCTATGATCCACTCAAGCTACAATCTAATGTCTTTCCTTTTATAGCCAGAATACTAGAAGAAGCAAAGTTATCTACAATCACTGCCTCTATTCTTTGTCTTCTCACTTCTCAGTGTTTGCTATTGGGTTTTCTGCTCTGATCATACAACTTAAATTGTACTCTCCAATGTTATTAATAATGTTTTAATTGTCAAAACTTATGGCCTTTTTTCAGTATCATGCTTCATCTTTCTTGATGTCTCTGAAATGCATCTCTGAAGCATTTGAAACTTTTAACCACCCTTTCCCAGAGTCTTTCATTTCTAGGTTTTCATGACATTGCTCTGGTTATCCTCCTACATGTCTGACCAATCCTTCTCAGTTTCCTTATCATAGATTACAGATTATCACCTTTATCCTCTCACCCAATTGTGACTATACTCCAAACCTTTTAATTGGTCTCTCTGTCTCAAATCACTCTCCTCTCCAATACATCCTCCACATAGCTGCCAAAATGATATTCTTATTAGAGCCTAGTTCTGACCACATCATTCACATCTCTATTCAATAAACTTCAAAATCCTTCACAATCTGGCTCCAACCTACTTTTCAAGCTTTATTATAAATTATACCCTTTCGTCCATCTTGTCTCCATTAAGATGCTTAGATTCTTAAAATCTAGCCACTGCTCAGATTCTTATAATCTAGCTAATAGCTTACTAATGTTCAGACTCCTTAAGAGTCTGCCCAATATGACAGATGTTCTAATAAACCTTGTCTTTGGCTGAAAAATAAATAAATAAATTATACCTTTTCATCACTCTTCCATTCTTCGGTCCAGCCAAACTGGCCAGCTTCCTGTTCTTCACACTTTCTACTTCTTTCAATTCCTAGTTGTCTTCAAAACTCAGATGAATGCTAAGAAATGTGGGCAAAGACAACCTAGACAATTTCATTTTTATCAAAACCCACTGGTCTTAAAAATCTGAATTTAAATAGTTTCATCTGAGATCCACTCTGATGGCATGAATAAATAAATAATAGCTTTAAAAATGTATTGGGGCGGGGAGAACTCAGCTCAAGTACTATCTCCTACCACAAAGCCTTTCCTGATTCCCCAGATGCTAGTGTCTCCCCCCAAAAAACTATCTTGAATCTATTTTGCATATGCATATGTATGAATATTTGTATATCTCACAATAGAAAATATGCTCTGTGAAAACAGACTGTTAAATTTTTGTCTTTTTATCCTGTAGCAAACATAGTAGGTGCTTAATAAAGATTGCTCAATGATTGATCCCCAGGAAATTACACGGCCAAGAATATCACTGAAACCAGGTTTTTATGAGTACTTAAAGAGGAAGAGGGGAGGGGTGTGGAGGGAAGAGAAAGAAGAGGCTGACACAGAGAGGTTAGGTTGAGAATGACGAAGACAAACTTCACAATCTTGCCAAAGTCTCACCCTGAGTCCGGAGAGCCCAAAGCCCTGGCATAGCAATCAGGATACTAGCTGTGTAACCTTAGGCAAATCTCTTCCACTCCCTGTTTTTCAGTTTTCTCCTCTATAAAAATGAGAGGATTGGCCTAGATTCTCTCTCAGCTCTCTTCCCACTCTGACAGTCTATGTTCTCAAGTCCCTTTTTGCTCTGACATTCTGTGGTTCCTTTAGACATGGCATTAGGAAGAGGCAGCTAGGTGGCACAGTGGACAGAAGACTAAGCTTGGAATCAGGAAGACTAAGTTCAAAATCTGCCTCAGACACTTATTTAGCTGTGTGATCATAGGCAAATCACTTAACCCTGTTTGCCTCAGTTTCCTCATCTGTAAAATTAGCTGGAGAAGGAAATGGCAAACTACTTCCGTATCTTTGACACAAATGGGGTCATGGAAGAGTTGGACACAACTGAAATTAATGAACAACAAGGGAAGATAGGAGAGAAAAAAAGGGCATGAATAGGGAAACTAGCCTCCTTGGCAAGACTAGATCTCCCACCTGCCCCCCAAATCCCGACATTCTGGGCACTTGGGAAACTGAGTTAAACTCTAGTCCCTGCTCTAGACCCTGGCTCCACAGGAAGCCACTGGCCCACTTAAGGTTTCAGGGTTTTTATTTTTTCTTCTGTAGTGGGCAGGAGCCTCCAGGCAGCATAGAGGGAGGGTGAGAGAGGCTGCTGAATGGGGGGCAGGGTCACCTCGGTACACGCCACGCACAGGCTTCTCCACTAATACACTGTAGTTACTGAAATCCTCCTCGGTCAAGACTCCACCATGGTGCTGCACCTACAGGGAAGGAGCAAGAGAGGGAGAAAGGAAGATGGCCTCAGCTAACATTTCTCCCAGCCCCTACTCTGCCTACCCCTAGGGCACCACAAGGAAGGGATTGGTAACTGCAGTCTCTCCTCACCCCCAATAACACTCCAGGCCCCAGAAACAGCAGAAAAAGCCCCGACTCTGAGTCAGAGGACCCAAGTTCAAATCTTGCCTTTGACATGTACTATCCATGTGACCTTAGGCAAGGGCCTTAGTTTCCTCATCCATAAAATGTGGGGGTGGAACTAGATGATCTCTGAGGTTCCTTTTGGCTCCAGATTTATAATTCCTAGGAGATCATTTCTTCTCCTCTCACTCCCCACCTTGGTGAGGACCACATCTCTCTCCCCAAGGGGCTCCCTGATCTTTTTTCCTAGGACTCTTAAAGTCTTTAAAAACGTCTGGGATTTTTGTTGATCCTGAGAGTATGGAAGTGGAAAGATCCCTGGGATAAGTGTGAGGTACCCTGGGTTCTAGTCCTGATTCTGCCATTAACTTGCTCCAAACTGGAAGAAGTCCCCTTCTTTCTCCGAGCTTCAATTTAGCCATCAGTAAAATGGTTGAACTCATAAAGTACTCCTTAAAGTCCCTCACGGCTTTGTTGGTCTATGTTTCTCAGCCCACCCTTGCTTGGTCCCATGCTCACCTCTGACACCATCTCCTGGGTGAGGTTGCCACCCCCATAAAAAGCTACGGCCCCTGCAGAACCCAGAGAAGACAGAACGGCGGCCAGGTCTGGCCTCCGCACAAAGGTGCCAGGTACCAGCGGCCGGCCTTCAGGAAAGAAGATCTCCCGGAAACGCTCGGAAGCATTGGGAACAGGTTGTTCTAGGATAGCCTGGGCTGGAAAGACACAGGGAAGATACCTGGGACTTAAGCCTCTCCTACCCTGACCATCCCCTTTACCACCCTCACCAACCAAAATGGTGAATGGACTTTCCAGACGTTAAGTCTTTTGCTCTGTCTTCCCAGACCCTTTGCAGCCTCACCACCCACCTCCAGGGCCCTTAACTGACCAAGATCATGGGTCACATTGAAGCCATCCTGAGCTACAGCTGAGGCGAATGCCAGAACCTTGGACCAGGGCAGCCTGAGAGAGAGAAGATGGAAAACATGGTGAGGGAGCTCGAAGGGGAAAGGACCCTCAGGGCAGGGGAAGAAAATGGATGAGGGGGTTATACGGACAGGAAAGAGAACTAAAAGGAGGAAGAATAGAGGGGACTCCAAGGATGGTGGAGCCCAAGCTGAAGGAGGAGGAATCTGGGGAGACGAGACATGTGAGTGATGAAAGAGAAAGTGGCGACAAAACTAGGAAGTGGGAGCCTGAGGAGAGGGAGGAATACGGGAAGAGGAGACCCAAGGCAGGAGAATGCCTGGGAAGGAGAATGAAAAATTTGGTGGGGGTGAGGGGGGGAGTCAAGGGGTGGCGGAAGTCCCTGGTGTCACCCTCCCCCTTACCTTCCATAGAGTTGATGAGCTTCATACAGCCCCTTGGCCATTCCTGGGATCCCCACAAGGAGACCGGGCTGGGTCAGGTGAAGCAGTCAAGGGAAAGAGGAGACCAAGTCACTAGAAGGGGAGGGGCTAGGCTGAGCTCTAAAGGGTCCACAGCCCCATGGTAGAGGGAACCCCCAAGGTTCATTGGTACATCATAATCCTACAGTAGCCTTGCACATATTTGGTACAGAACAGACACACGTGCCTGGCCAATGCTCATCCTATACTAGCCACATAGTAAACACACATACAGAAGGTACACTGCAGCCAGACATACAGGCAATCAAGAAGCATTTATTAAGTGCCTCCTATGTGCCAGGCACTTTGTTAAGCACTAGGGATACAAAGATAGGCATAAAAACAGTCCCCACCCTCAAGGAGTTCACAATCTAATAGGAAAGACAACATGTAAATTACTAGGTATAAAAAAACTACATACAGAGTAGATGGAAGGTGGGGGCAGGTAGGTGGCACCATAGTGCACAGAGCACTGGACCTGGAGTCAGGAAGACTCATCATCTTCCTGAGTTCAAATCTGGCCTCAGACACTTACTAGCTATGCAACCCTGGGCAAATCACTTAACCCTGTTTGCCTCAGTTTCCTCATCTACAAAATGAACTGCGGAAGAAAATGGCAAACCACTCCAGTATCTTTGTCAAGGAAGACCCCAAATGGGGTCACAAAGAGTCAGACGTGACTGAAATGACTGAACAACAACAAAGATGTAAGGTAATCTGAGAGTGGAGACATAAGCAGCTGAAGGGGCTTCCAGCAGAAGGTGGGATTTGAGCTGAGTCATGAAGGAAGCTGGGGAGACTAAGGCAGAGGTGAGAGGCAGAGGAACCTAGGAATGGGGTCAGACAGTGCAAAGACATAGAGGCAAGAGGTATGTCATTTTTGAGGAATTGCAAGGAGGCCAGTGTAGCTGGATCATAGATTGATTGTAAAATCTAAGAAGACTGGAAAGGAGCCAGGTTATGAAGAGCTTTAAATGCCTAACAGAGCTTATATTTGATTCTGATGGTAACAGGGATCCACGGGAGGTTAGTGAGCAGGGAGTAACATGGTCAGACCTGTGCTGTAAAAAGCATCACTTAAAGGATACGAACAGGTAGTTTTCCTAAGGAGAAACCAAAGCTATCTATAGTCATATGAAAAAAATGCTCTAAAGCACTATTGATTAGAGAAATGCAAATTAAAACAACTCTGAGGTACCGCTTCACACCCACCAGATTGGCTAACATGACAAAACAGAACAATGATAAATGTTGGAGAAGATGTGGGAAAACTGGAATATTAATACATTGCTGGTGGAGTTGTGAACTAGTCCAACCTTTCTGGAGAAAAATTTGGAACTATGTCCAAAGGGTTATAAAACTGTGCATATCCTTTGACCCAGCAATACCACTATAAGGTCTGTATCCCATAGAGATTAAAAAAAAAAAAGGAAAAGGAAAAGGAAAAGGACCTATGTGTACAAAAATATTTGTAGCAGCTCTTTTTGTGTTGGCAAAGTTTTGGAAATTGAGGGAATACCCATCAATTGGGGAATGGCTGAACAAGTCAAGAAATATTATTGTGCTCTAAGAAACGAAGAGCAGGATAGTTTCAGAAAAACCTGGAAAGACTTACATGAACTGATGCAAAGTGAAGTGAGCAGAACTAGAAGAACATTGTACATAGTAACAGTAACATTGTGCAATGATCAACTGTGAATGACTGAGCTATTCTCAGCAATACAATGATCCAAGACAATTCTGAAGGACTTATGATGAAAAATGCTATCCACCTCCAGAGAAATAAATGATGTAATCTAAATGTAGATTGAAGCATACCTTTTTTTTTTAACTTTCTTAATTATTCCTGATTTTTGGTTTTTTTGGTCTGCGTTTTCTTTTGCAATACGACTATTATGTAAATGTTTTGCATGATTGCTCATGTAGAATCCATATCAAATTACTTGTCTTCTGGGTGGGGGGAGAGAATTTGGAGCTCAAAATTTTTTTTAAATGTTAAAAAGTTTTTTTAAATGTTAAAAAAATTTTGTTTACATATAATTGAGAAAAAATAAAAATAATAATTTTAGAAAAAGAATCACTTGGATAACTCAACAGAGAGTAGACTGGAATGAGGGGATGGCTGAGAAAGGAAAATCTATCAGAAGGCTATTCCAATAGTCCAAGTGATGAAGGCCTGAACTAGTATTATGGCTATATGAACTGAGAGAAGGGGACACAGATGAGAAATGTAATGAGGGTAGAAATGACAAGATTTGACACTGGATTGGATATGGGGGTGCATATGAGTGAGGAGATGAGGGTGACACCAAGTTTATGAATCTGGGAGCCTAGGAACATGGTAGTGCCCTCAACAATAATAGGAAAATTCAGAAGGGAGGACTTGGGGAAAGGATAAAGTTCCATTTTAGACATGTTGAGTTTGATATATCTCTGGGACATCCAATTCAAGTTGTGCAAGAGGCAGCTGGAGGTGTGAGACTGTAGCTCAGGAAAGAGATGAGGGCTGGGTATACAGAGCTGAGAATCATCTGCACAGAGATGCTAACTGAATCAAGTGAGATGGTATAAATGGAAAAGAGAAAACGACCCAGGACACCAGCAAAGGAGGCTAAGAACGAGCAATTGGACAGATAGGAGGAGAACCAGGAGGGAGCAATTTCGTAAAAACTTAGAAAGGAGAAAGCACCCAGGAGGAGAAGGTAATCAATAGTGTCAAATGCTGCTGAGAGGTCAAAAAAAAAAAAGAAAAGAAAAGAAAAGAAAATCAGGATGGAGAAAAGGCCAACAGATTTGGCAATTAAGAGATTATTGGTAGCTTTGGAGAGAGTAAGTCCAGATGAATGAAGTCAGAATCCAGATTACAGTGTCTAGAAGAAAGGGACAGAAGAAGAAATGGAGGCACCAAATGTAGATAAATTTCTCAAATTTAGCCATAAGGAGAGGACAGATATGGGACAGGAGCTGGTGGGGCTAGTGGGGGTGATAGATCAAGTGAGAGGTGTTTTTAGGGATGGGGGAGACATGGATATGTTAGTAGGCAGAAGGAAAGGTGCCAGTGGATAGACTGAATATAAGAGAGAGGGAACAGTTTGTTAGAGAAGTCAGGGAGAAGAGGGGATTAAGAGCACATGTAAAGAAACTGACTTTTGCATGGAGAAGGCCCACTTCTTCATCTGAGACTGGAGCAAAGGAGGACATAGTAGGGGAAAGTGTTTGAATGATGTGAATTGAAGAGGAGGAGGATTGGGGTTAGCTCACACGAGCCTTGTGTACTACAGGTGGACAGTAGCATGGCACATAGTAGATGCAGAGCATCCTGGCACATAAAGCGTGTTCAGAAATGGATTTCAGTGAAGAAGGGAAGGGGAGAGGAACCCCTCCCCTGTGGCCCCCACCTTGGTCTCCCAGAATCTTTGCAGGGCTTCCTCCCGAAGGGCACCAGGAGCAGTCTCCCGGAAGTCAATCAGGCGGCTCTCATTCCTCCGGATGTCGTGGACAAGCATCACTCCTCCCCTGGGTAGGGAGAGAGGGGAGCATCGGGAGGGCAGCATGTGGAAACAGGGAAGGGCAAGGGGATGTAGTATTGGAGAACGAGGAGAAAGCATGAGATTACCTGCCCCCCCCCCCACAAATACTGTACTATACTCTCTCCCGGCCCCTGTGTTGAGATAAACCTCTTCTAGGGCTTGGGGGGAAGGGGGGAGGTGGCTAGACTAATGAGGGAGGTGGGGGAGAAGGGTTTTGGCTCTCTCCAAAGCAGCTCTGAAGAGGCTCTCCCCACCAAGTCACCCAATATCTTAATCCCAGATTAGCAAGAACCGGCCAGAGAAGGGAACTGGGCCAATCCTAGGGGGCCGTAGGCTGGATGCCTGCCAGTTTCCTGCACCTGTCTTAAAGAAGTAGCAGCTAGCTCCTGCCCCCTGGGGCTGGCTTACGTAAGGGAGAAGACTTTAGGCCCTGGACATCAGCTCCCAACTGACCTGGTCTTTACACCAAGTTCAAATAATGAAGGGCTGAGGAGGAGTAGCCAAGGCCTATCTGCCCACCCTCTCTCCCGGGAATCTGAACAGGGCTTGTGTAGAGGCAAGGGAATGCCCTAGAATAGATCAACTGAAAGAGTCTGGGGGAGTCAACTGGAGGTCTGTGGGGTTGCTGATTAGGGAAATGGAGGCTGCTGATAGAGGGAATCTGGGGCAGAAAATTGGGAGAGTACAGAGGGGCTTATTTGGAGAACTTAATGAGGGATGATTGGAGGGACCTGAGGGACTGAATAAGAGACTCTTGGGAGACCAATTGGGTCTCTGTTGAGCACTGGTTGGAAGAACTGGGAAGGGAAAATTGGGGGAGTCTGAAGTATAGATTTAGGGAGCTCCAGATAGAAGGCCACTTACCCACCCAGACCAGAGCTGTGAGGAGCCACAATGCCAGCACACAGGGCAGCAGCCACAGCGGCATCCACAGAAGAGCCACCTTTACTCAGTACCTCGATGCCTAGCGCCGTGCAATGGGCAGCATCTGTGACAACTGCTCCCTGGTGGAAGATCTGGGGGAGAGAATGGGGAAGGGGAGATTTAATGGGGGACAGCAACAAAGGCTGCTCTCATGAAACATCTCTCCCTCACACTAACCCTCTGTTCTAGGTGGCAAAACTCTGAAGCAGGGGGCAGAGGAAACAAAAATACCCACCTGTTAGGGTTCAAGGATGATCACAACCCCCTACCCACCGAGGTAAGTGTCTCTTCGCCTAAACTCCTTCCATTACTGAGCATAGAGTTGGGTTGAGCACATAGTAGGTGTTTAATAATTGTCTGTTGAACTGCTAGCTCTTGGTCCCCTCTCTCCATCTCTTAACCATGGCTTCTCTTCTAACTTACTTCCTTCCTCCCCTCCAATCTCCTACTCAACTCCCTGCCTAGATCCCTAGGCACCACCCCACCCCAAGCTCCAGTACCCTCCCCTTCACTTCCACATTTTTCTTTCTTTCTTCTTCAGACCTCCCTGGATTTTCTTCCAATCTGCCCCTTCCCAGTCTCACCTGGGGATCCCCAAAGTAAATCTGCATGACAAGGGCCACTGTCACCCCAGTGGCAAAAGTGAGACAGGCTGTGACGATGACTGTGAGTCCATCTTGGCGGCACGAACACTCTGCTGCAGCCGCAAAGGGATCCTTGCTGGTCTCCCTTAGAGGTGACCCATCCTGGCTGCCCATCTCCGAAGAGGATGAGGGTAGTTGCTGTAGCCGGGCAGACTTCAGGAAAGAGTCAGGATCTGGGGGACAGTCAATGGGGCAAGGGAAAGGAGGAAATATTAGAAGTCCTCATACTTATTGTTGACCCTTCCCCCCCCCAAAAAAAATCCCCTCCAGCCCCTGGGCTGGACTTACTTACATCAACCAAGCAGCTTTGGGGTGATGCTTCCACCTACCTCCTGGCAACTGCCTTTCCTGCTTCCTCCAGACTCTGTCTTTCCCTCCCCCAGCCCCTGTTTCCCCAGCTCTTTAATCCCTGACCTGTATCATCTTTCAGTCTTTTTCTGACGCATTCTTTTCTAAGATGGGTGGGGACCGGGGCTGGCCCCTGGGCTAAGAAGTTCTACAGACCACCACCGCCTTCCTCCCTTGGGGAAGTGGATGTCTGGGTTCTCCCTTCCCTTCCCCAGCTCCAGTCATCAACTGATAGAACTGTTTTGAACTGAAAGGGAACAAGCATTTATTTAGTACCTACTGTGTGCCAGACACTGTACTAAACACTATACAAATATTATCTCATTTGAGCCTTACACTAACTCTAGGAGGTGGTGCTATTATGACCCCCATTTTACAGTTAAAGAAACGGAGGCAGGCAGAGATAAAGGGACTTTGCCCAGGGTCACACAGCTAGTAAATGTCTGTCTGAGGCTGGAATCCAGGTCTTCCTGACTCCAGGCCCATCGTTATATCTACTGTGTCAACTAGCTGCCTCATTTTACAAATGAAGAAACTGAGGGTCAGAGAAAAATGATCAGCCCAAGGTTACACAAGTCCTTCTCCTCAATCCCCTGACTCCCCCAGTCTCTGCCTGCCCAAACCCAACACTGGAAAAACTCCAATTTCCTAGAGGTGGCAGAAAGACGAGGGAAGGTAGCAAAGAGGAAGGCTGACAGGCCAGATACTGTTCTTCTCTACAACCACAGCTGACTTGGAAAAAGAAGATCCTTAGGGGGCATTGGTCATAGCCAGTAATTGGCAGGGAACAGAAAGGGAGGGCCTTGAAGGGCAAACCTCCAGCCCCACTCTGATCAGTTTGGTTTTTTTTTTGACAGTATATGTGGCATTCTGTACCCACAATCTTTTCTCACTCTCTAAAGAAAGGAGGAAGATGTATGTCTGCATTTCCTTATCTACTCTAGAGCCAAAATTATACACGATAACTATAACAGTAGAAATTAAAAGAATACTAAAAAGAAGCCAAACTCTATGTAATTTTAATGATCTTTGTTTTTGGGTTCTGTTTGTATTTCATTCTCCATTGGTTAATACAAATCTTCCAATGTTTCTATGAATTCCTCATAGTCCTTTTTTACAGGGCAATAATATTTCATTACATTTGTTTGCCATAATTTGTTCAGTCATTCATTCCCCAGGCTGTGAGTACCCATTTTGTTTCCAGTTTTTGGCTGCCTCAAAAACTGCTAAATATTGGGGCAAACTAATCTGTTTATATCCTTTGACCCAGAGATCTTTCTGATGAACATATACCTCAAGGAGGGCAAAGACAGAAAATTCTCACATATATAGAGTGTCCCAGAAATCTCAGTTCAGTTTTAAGCTATTAAAACAAAAGTCTTAGCTTGCATTAAGACTTTTGGGATACTCTGCACGTGGAAACTTTCTGTCTTTGCCCTCCTTGAGGTATACACTTAACAGAAGGATCTCTGGGTCAGAGGGTATAAGCACTTTAGTGACTTTTCTAACAGGAATCCAAATGATTTTCTGGAATGGTTGCACCAATTCACAGGGCCACCAATCATATATTATATCTTGTACCTGTCTTTTCACAGACCTTTCAACATTGACTATTTCCATCTTTTGTTATCTTTGCGGATTTCTCCAGTCTTATTCATGCCCATCTCTGTCAAACACAAGGCTCTCTTCACAACTTGAGTCTAGGGCTAAGGTCCCAAGATAGCCAGTCATAGGATCATTTAAATCTGGAAGGGGCCTTGTTGTTCAATCATTTCAGTCGTGTCTGACTCTTTGTGACCTCATTTGGAGTTTTCTTGACAGAGGTACAGGACTGGTTTGCCATTTACTTCTCTAGCTCTTTTCATAGATGAGGAAACTGAGGCAAACAAAGTTAAGTGATTTGCCCAGGGTCACACAGCTAGTAAGTATTTGAAGCCACCTATCTGCTCTGTAGAGATCATCTAATTCTGGGGTGGGGAACCTGTGGCCTCGAGACCACATGTAGCTCTCCAGGTCCTCAAGGGTGGCCCTTTGATTGAATCCAAACTTCACAGAACAAATCTCCTTCAACCCTATTTTACTAAGGAAGGAAACTGAGATGAAGGGAAGAAGGGAGAGAATGAGAATGAATATGGCTTGCTCAATGTCACACGGGTAATTGGCAGAGCCAACACTAAAATTTAGCCCCTCTGATTCTAAAACCAGACTTGGATAATCTAAGAATTAGAAGGGATCTGAGAGATTGTTCACAATTGATCAATAAGCAAAGTGATTAGGGGCAGCTAGGTGGTGAAGTGTATAGAGCACTGACCCTAGAGTCTGAAGGACCTCAGTTCAAATCTGGCCTCAGACACTTACCACCTATGTGACCCCAGGCAAGTCAATTGCCTCAAAAAGAAATAAGCAAAGTGGTTATCCTCTAGGGAATATCAGTCTTCCCTCCCCCATCTCTTTAGAAATGGAGGTGTTGGGGGCAGCTAGGTGGCACAGTGGATAGAACACCAGCCCTGGAGTCAGGAGGACCTGAGTTCAAATCTGGCCTCAGACACTTACTAGCTGTGTGACCCTGGGCAAGTCACTTAACCCCAAATGTCTTTAAAAAAAAAAAAAGAAAAAGAAAAAAATGGAGATGTTGGGATCAATGGAGATATCACTTTGTATCTTGGCTTGAAAGATAAGTTTTGTTAATGATAAGCATTGTTATTTATTGTTGTTCAGTCATTTTTTTTTCAGTTGCGTCTGACTCATTGTGACCCCCTTATTGGGGTTTTCTTGGCAAAGATACTGGAGTGGTTTGCCATTCTCTTCTCCAGTTCATTTTACAGACAAGGAAACTGAGGCAAACAGGATTAAGTCTAGGGTCACACAGCTAGAAAGTGTCTGAGGCTGGATTTGAACTCAGAAAGAGGAGTCTTGCTGTCTCCAGGCCTGGCATTCTATTCACTACACCACCTAGCTGCCCATTAAGCATGTTAAATTCTGTTTATAAGTATTTTAGAAACAGAAGAAATATAAATTGGTATATCAAGCAGATAAACTAAATGGTTTTGCAATATTGTCAATGCTTATCACACATATTCTGCTGCTGTGATGCTTATAATATCTGAATATTCAGTTTGGTCAGTAGGAGAATCCTACTCAGGGGATGGGGCCTATCATGACTGACTGGCTTTTGCCTCAACGGGCATATTCCACAAGAGTGGCATGAATGGTATCAACAAAAGGATTAAAAAAAAATCTGAAATGGATCCCAACATTGATCCCACTGGATATTGCCACAGCCTTTTTGGAGGACTATAAGACTTCATCTCCCCAACAGCCTAGTGAAGATATTAGCCAGCAGTCACTGGCCTTGAGACCTGATGGATCCAAAGCTTCCAGAGTGAGGCAAACTGAAGCTCGGAGGAAGGTTTCACTAGAATCATAGCCAAAGAGCATTTGAGAAAGCATCAGCCCAATCTCACAGTATGCTTGCTGTATTGATAGCCTTCATATGAGTGATTTGAAGGTAAGTCCATTTGCCATACTAACAGAACCTTGTTAATGAACCAAGACAAACTGAAAACAGGAGGGCAGTTCTTGGAACAGAAGATAACCAGGGATATGGTATAAGACTAAGTCAGGTAGAGCAGACGGTTTTAATCTCCCAGATTGGGGGAAGAATCACCCAGAGAATCCAGAGTCACAATTCATCCCTGTATCCCATGGGATCAGGAAGTTGTTCCCATGTTCAGGGACAAACTGGGATGGAAAGTTGTTACAGCAATAATAAGCTAAGAGAAATTCAGAGTGTGGGAATTACGAGGTGAGTTGGTGATTTGCTTCCCAATTTTAGCAGATGCTAAGGAGAACCACAGGGTATAGAAGTCAATTTTTCAAGAATCCTTGGAGGGATTGGGAAAATGGGCTTGGACTCCCCCAAAAAGGCTCAGACTCTGCATTCTGGGAGCATATTTCTTTTTGCAAAGGGAAGTTAACAAGCAGCTGAACAGAGTGGTGCACACCCAAAATCCTAGCTACTTGGATGCTGAGGGCTGGAGAATCTCCTGAGCTCCGGAGTTCCAAGCTGCAGTGGGCTGGAGCAGATGATGAGCCCTGGGAGTGCCACAAACCTTAAATTGGTCTCCCAACCTAGAATATTAAAACTAATTCTGATTGACTGGGCAAAGTAAGAGTTGGGAGGGTTTGTGCTACCCTCTAAAAATTATAATCTAAAAACAACATTACCACCTTAGTGCCTCCCCAGTTGTGAAATTTTCCCACAACATAAGCTTACCATTCTTTCCCTGACAGAAGCAGAAACAGGGTTGGAAGTATACACCACAGTATGGGATCCAAACCTGGAGACTGTAATGGTATTTACTCTATATGAGAGCTAGGGGGCCATACTTGTCAAGGCTCTCTCTGCCTTCTCCAATATTACTTTGTATTTATTTGTGTATACATTGTTTCTCCCCAGTAGAATGGAAGCTCTCTGATGGCAGGGGCTGTTTTTGTTTTTAATCACTAGACTCTAGTGACTGGAGCCTAGTATGGTGCCTGGTATATAATAGGTGCTTAATAAATGCCTGTGGAATGAATAAAATGAATGAATCAATGAGGGATGTCCTGGGGAATCCATAGGATCATTCCTGATCCTATTAATGTGGAATAGAGTTCTGCAAGAGCTACCATGCCTGAGATTTTAATGCAATGATTTAATTGCCCCTTTTCTTTAATATTCCATTTTAGACATTTGGGAATTAGTTTTGATTGTTAGATTTAATTTGGCCAGTGGGAGAAACCTACTACACATACTTATTTTGTGGTACGCTGCTATGATATT